ATGTTCTGTACTATTCATCACTCATCATTCTATTCTGATACAAAAACACTTATTTTTTTCAAATTTCTTTTTAAAAATAGCATTTGTGCTGCTAAAGTCAGATCCAAGCTTGTCCTTTTAGAACTAATCAGGTTGCTGATATCTAAAAATAATCATTCACTTAATACAGAGGTTGCTAATATTGCAAGGTACTTTCAGGCTATTTTAGCAAGTTTTGAAAATTTTTGCAAATGCAATTTCTATCACTCTAAAGAGTCTTTAGTATTTAATGTTGATGGCAATGACAAATAACTTGAAATTTCATTAACAACTTGTGGATCTGATACTGATTTATCTTCTTTTTTTTTTTAATTGATGCTGTTAAAGATATTTCTTATATAAACATGATAATGATTCTGTGGTAGATAAAGTTGGGTAAATCAATAATTTAGATACTAGTTCTTCTAATTTACTCAATTTATCACAGAGTTTTTGAATAATTTGATCTTTTTCAAAACCATTATCTAAAAAATCTAAGCTTTTATAATATAGATCTAGCAAAGCTGCTATTAAACCAAGATAGCTAGAATCATTCCAGTAGTAGATTAGTACACTATAAATATTTTTTTTAACTTTTTCTAAAATACCTATTGTATCTAATGAATGTTTAATTAAAATTTTTTTTTAGTAATATTACTAATAATTTCATTATCATCAAAGTCAATAAGTTGTATATCTTCGGCTTCCAATTCAAACACTATATCTTCATCCAAAAAAAGATTAATATTTGATAGTGTTTTAGTTGTCAAATCAAAAATTATCTCTTTAATAACAGGAATAACTCTACTTAACATTATATAGGTATTTCTTAAAAATTCATATATCACTTCTTCAAAGGGCATCAGCAAGTTGATGAGTTGGTCTAACAATTCCTATTTATCATTTGAGAGAAGTATACTTTTTAATTTAACACCATCCTTTTTTATATCTCAATCTAGTAAAGTATATAAGTTAGCTTGGAGTTGAATAATTGTATCTTTTAAAAAAAAAAGATGATTCCAAGCATAAAACATAGAGTTCCAACATGTGAATATATTCTGAATGCAATGCAAAACATCTATATAACTGAGCTTTTTTTGCACTTCTTCTAATCTTTCTACCTGTTTTTGATATTGAAAACATTGTATTAGTCTTCTTACATATGCTATTAGAATCTCTACTAGTACTAATCCCTTTCCAATTGCTAACTGAAGAGTATAAGCTAAGCATAAAAGATATTTAATATTTCATATCTATTTTTTTTGTTTAACAAAGAAAAAACTAAGACCATATTGATGCTATTATCAGTAGTAATAGATATTATACAATTTTCAAGATTTCAAGATTCAATGCACTTGTAAAGTTCATTAGCAATGACTTTACTAGAATGTGGTGAAGGAATATATTTATTTTCTAATATTATATCTATAATTTCAAAATTTGGCATAATTCAAGTAGCAGTAATTCCCAAATATTCGTGCTTAGCTCTACTTGACCAAAAATCTGTTGTAAGTGAAATATTTTCTATAGTTTTAAGAAGATTTTTTAAATTTTTCTGATTATAACTATAACTTTTAACAATCATGGTTTTTATTTTTTTTTCTCCTGAAATAGTAAAAGAAGGGTCAAATTCAGCCATTTTCTCTTTGTTTACTTCATTAGTAACTATAGAAAGAGGTTGATTTAAATGTAGTATCCACTTGAAAAGTATTTCTTCATATTTTTTTTGAACGTGTAGAGAATAAGAATAAGGTTTTCATACAAAATCAGTGATTTTGGAATTTCGTGGCTAAAAATTGTTAATAATATATTTTAAAATTTTGAAGAGCTAAAAAGTAATTATCTTTACTAATTAGAATAAGAAATAGAGCAGAGTAAAGCAAAAGGCTATAATTATCTCTTACCTGTTAGTTTTTTTATATTGAATTTATATTTTTATATCTTTTTTGCAGTTTTTGTATTATCATTTAAAACAATCTCATAACAATCTCTAAGGTGTGTAATGAGATTTCCTGTCAAACTTCCTATACTCTTGTACTTTTGGCTACATTTTTGACTATTTTTTTTTATAAATTTGCAAATTCATATATCTTCACCTTTTTTATTTACTCCTTTGTTAAAATAGTCACAAGTAAAGAATAAAATTTTACATTTGTAATTTCTTTTATTTTCAGACACTTTATCTAAACCCAGAATTGCAAATTATTACTTATCTTATATCTATATATAGCTTACTACTAAAATTTCAATTACCTTTATTTTGGCCTTTCGAAAGCATAAAAGAAGAACATGCTATTTGAATACTGGGTTTATCAATTTCTACGAAAAAGATTTTAGCTAAAGTTCCCAAACTTTCAGCATCTTTATAACTAAAACTATCAGAATAGTATTCAAAATTGTCAGGATAGTATTCAGAATCATTTTTTATTGTCTTATAATTTTCCATTGTCTTTTATACTAATATTCATGTACTGAATAATATTGAATTATTTGTTTTTCATAATTATATATTAAATAGAACCTATTTATGTATACAAAGAAAATTTATCAACCTCTTTTATCAATTATTCCTTGACTAATTAGTTTATAACTATAAGCACCCATTTGTATATATTATTTTGAAATAAGAGTCAATTTTCTGACCTAATATTTCTAAAATAGCACTCATGCATTTTTTATAAACTAAACCTGTTAAAGAAGCTATTATTGACAAATCAATTCATCAATGCTTTAATTAACTAAAGAAGAATCTATAAATACAAATGAACTGTATAAAATTAGAATTAAGAATGGTGAAAATAAAGGTATTTCTTGGTGGATAATTCTTATGAAATATATCAAGTAAATAAGTATTTACGCATTATCAGAAGTTGGTTTGGACAGATAATTTTAAGCGAATTAACAAAATGATGTGTATTTCATTTTCAAAATTCAAAGACAGTAATTATAATTTCATTATGTAATCACTTAATCAATATTTATTATAAGCAATATATTTGCTTATTTAACTAGAAAATATACAAGACATTTCTGAATAGTATAACTCAAATTATCATGTTATTTAATAAATTTATATAATACTTTATTAAAATAAGCGATTAAAAAAGCTATATGGATTTTATTATTTTGAAAGCCTATAAGTGTTACTTTGTAACTTTGAAAATATGTTTATATTAATAAAAAATATCTTAGAATTGAATAATTATAAATTTAAAAAAAATAACAAATTCACTATTTGTTATTTAGTGGAAGATTAAAAACAGATAAGGTTATTTAGTTAAAGCAATTACTAAATATTTGCTTGAAATTGGTGTAATAGCTTGTTAACACTAATTGTGTATATTGATATTTTAATTAAAGTTAGATTTTTGATTTAAAAGCATCAAGCAGGTTATTCTGCTTGAAAGTTAGCATAGCAAATTTGTTAATATTATATATATTGTATTTTAACCAGGTTTCAATCAAGCTATGCTAATAAGATTTATATAAAATGCAGGTGATTATTTAATATTCTGCATTTTTGCACATGCATATATACTTTATTTTTTTTTTTATTGTTTTTAATTCGAATTTACTAATTCAATCTAGATTTGTTCTAATTTAAATTAATAACCGAATACATTATAAAGAATTCGAATTCGATTCGAATAGCCCTTAAAAAGTAAGATCGAAGCTCTAGTTTTAACATATAATATTTCTTAAGACAAGTAAGTTGCCAGAGCTTCAATGAATCAAAAGATATAAATAATATAAAAAACTAATGTCACCTGGTAGCATATGACTACTTTAAAGAGAAGCAATTATTTTGCCTTCTTTCACATGATTTTTTTGGAGTTTTCAAGATTTTGATATAAAAAATAGCTTGTTAGATGCATATAAGTGAAAGCTTTTAGTGAAATACATCTTTGAAGAGTTGTTATATTAGTAATATTATGCTAAAAATTAAAAAAAACTGTTTTATAGTATATACTATAAATTACAATTTTTACTAATAAGTTTTTTTTTTTTTTTTTTAGTAAATATTATATTACAAATTTATAAATACATTTAAAATAATTATTCTTTTTATTAATATTTTTGATAAACATTATATAATTTATAAATCTAAAGTTGAATCTAAAGTAGAATTTAAAGTAACTCTTTTTGATTTTTTATATTAGTTATACTACCGATTCTGAATTCGCTTTGATGTCTAATAGTTATATAATGACAACTCTTCTACTAGTTTATTAACAAACTCTTTAGACAAGAAAAAAAAGCTTCTATATTTCTCAAGTTGGTTCAAGATTTTTTTTTCTTTAGGTATAGTTTGGTGTGTTGTTTTTGGCTTTCAAGACTTGAACGGATTAGTTTTAGAAGACAAATTGGTTTCAAAAGACAGATTAGTTTCAGTTAGTGATACTAATAAGTCTTGTTTTATCTTTTTAACTTCTATATTATATAATTCTAAAATATATATTATTTTTTCTACATCTATTGTTTTTAATTAATTATTAGACTTATTATTTTTTTGCTAACTTTATGAATATTAGGTTCAGTTTATCATGTTTTATTTTTATTTTGATAGCTGTATTACAAGTAATTTGTATAGTGATCTTATTTATTTTGTCAATTTCTGATTGGTAACAATAAAATATTTGATGATAACTAGCAGTTGTTAACTGTGTTGTTTTTATAAATAATGTATATGATTCTGGCTATGAGTTACTTAGTTCTTCTTTAAGTTTATTAATCAACTTCTAAAGAGCTTTTTAATGAACTTTAACAGACTATGAGTTTTACTAGCCAACCAATCTTTAGTAAATGCTAAAATTAAGAAGTTAAATCATTTATTTTTTGCTTGTACTAATTTGATATTTTGCTTTAGATTTTTTATATTAGTTTTATGTTTAACTATATTTTTTTTATAAATTTCATACCAAATATTTCTAAAGCCTTATCATAAGCAAAAAAACTTCTTTTCAGAGTTATATTTATCAAAGATGCTGCCCAAAGATCTTGAAAAAACTGTGGTTTGTATTGAAAATTGGTTAAAAATTATGCTACAGACTCAGTATATCTTATTCTTTTTGTTATTAGAAGTAAAGAAGCAAATACCATCAGGCTATGTATTTGCAAGTCAAAATTTGCTATACAAATTCCAAGTTTGTACAATTTTAAATATTCTACCTACTAGTAAAAATTATACCAAACTTTTAATAATTTATTGTCTTCTGCAGGAATATTTTTAATAGAAATACTATTTTCTTATATATACAGATGAATCACAATTTCAACAGCTATCTAAATAAGCTCTAACACTTAAAATATTGATTGATAGTTACTGTTTTTCTCAAGTTTATTGAAAAATTAATACCAAGTTATATAGCAAGCTCAAAAAGTCCATATTCTGAAAAGATAATAATTAATATACTACATATTGTTTTACTTGTATACTATTGTTCTAGAATACAATATACTTTTTGTTTTTTATTTTTGTAATCTTTTATATAACAATATATTGCTTTATTACATACCAAATTTAACACTCTGTTCTCTATATAACCAAAATCTTCTAAATATATATCTATAGCTTGATAAATATTTTTATTTTTGCTTGGAGCCTCTCCAGTGTTAAAAATTATAATATTCAGAGATGTTGAGAATGATATTGATTTAATATTTTTTTTAAGAGCTACATTAATATGTTCAATATCAAATATTTGTTTTTAATTAACCAATTGACTAAAAATTGTATTTATTTTTATATTTCACACTTCTATTAGAGGGCTTATGCCAAAAAGATCTCAAATTTCAAATTGTTCTAAATTGAAAAGCTTTGGATATTTGAACTGAAAAACTATTTACAATATTGCATATATATTAGTACAAACTATTTCATAAATATTCTTTTATTGAAAAGTTATATCTTTCATATCAATATTATTTATAATTGCAATATTTAAAATATTTAGATTTGTATTTAGGTCAAGGGGTCTTGAATAAGGATTTGTAGCTAATATTTGTTTTTTTTGAATACTTGCTTTATAGTTTTTATTATATGCTACAACCTAAATAGCATAAAAAATTTTGTCTATCTTCCTTAGTCTTTGACAAAAAGAAAAAAGTATACAGATAAACCATATTTTCTAATTAGAGAAAGCAATAATAAGCAGCACCAAAGAAAAAAAAAAAGAATATATTTTGATTTTATTTTTATTTAATTGTAGTGGTGACAAGCTTTATTCTCTTTGTTTTTTAGCTAATATCTTATCTTTATTTTTTATTAAAGTTAAAATAAAACCAAAAAAAAAGTTTACAAAAGATGATAGTATAGTATTATAGTATTTATTTAGAGAATTCAGCTCTTCAAACAAAGGTAATCTCTGTTTAAGTTCTAACCATTCTTGTAATACAAAATGAGCAAATACTTTTTCAAATTCATTGCACATAATAGATTTTAATTGTATTGCTCACTTCTTTTCACTAATATTAACTTTTTAAATAGCAAATACTGTTTTAATTAAAAATAAACTAGGTACTATAAAATCTAAATAAATAGTGGAAGGCATAATATTAAAATTCTTGAGAGTATTAGAGATAATATTGCCAAACACATTAATGAGCCCTTTTAATATAGTCTAGGATATTACACGATATAGAAATGATCTGCAAATATATTAGAAAAGTATTTTAAAATCGATTTTTAATTGAAAAAACAAAAGTATTTTTTATTTTCTAAAAATAACTATCAGTTTTAAAAAAATTTTTAAAATTTTTTTACAAAAAGTTTTCTAAAACTATGTAGTTTAGGAATCCGTGTAGATCCCAGAGGCTTTATAAGGCTGTTATATGGTAAATAACAAAAGTGTAACAACATAGTCAATAATTTGGCCAAAATTTGTACTACAGAATTGCAGATCTTTATCAAAAAACAAAATGATTTGCATTACACAATTTTGAAAAATTCCTGACTGTAATAGAGTAACTTTTAAAGAGCCATTATTTAATTCAGCGATCTATTTATTAAATAACTTCAAGGCAAGTATAATATCTATATTATGTTTTTCTCAGTTTAAATATATACATGTTTTTTTTTTGATTCCTAGTCAAACATGCAAGCAGCCTCCATATATAATAAAGTAGTTTATACAAATAAATCAAGATCTTTCATTTTCTAATAATTCAGTTGAAAGTTCATTATATTTGTTAATTGCTAGATAGTTATATAATCTATAGCATAAAATATAAATAACATATCTACAAACTGTTTGAATATATAATGAGTATATACTACCTCTTGTAAAAAAGTATTTTATTTTATTACAAAGAAAATAGCAACATGATGTGATTGTACTTTCTACTATTAATAGTTTATTCCTTATACTTGGGTATAAATATTTTAGGCCATAGTTGTAATGCTATATACAAATACCTAGTCTAGAAATCTTATTATTAGCTTTTTTTATACTTTGAAAATTAACCTCCTATATACTCAATAGTTGATTTATACTTTAAATCTCATATTATTGCATCTTTAAATTATGGTTAACATATTACTAATTTTATTATCAATAACAACACAATTTGTAAATCTTGTAAAACTTATAACTTTAAAAAGAAGTAGTATATTATGCTTCTCTTCAATTACTTTTGTCACATTATTATTACTATTAAATAATTCATTAATCTCAATTAATTTATCTTCTATTTTATCATTAGATTGAATTATTTCTTTTACTCTTTTATACAAATACTAATCAAATATAAAAGTATTACCATCTTCTGTTATTTGTTTAATACCAATATTGAACTTTTTGCTAAAATCAGGTTAGATTTTCTTTTCGAGATTAAACAATGTATTATCTAATGACTCTATTATTATTTTTTTTTTTGTTGAGTATTTAAATAAAGTCTTCTTTATTTTTCTTTAAGTTATTGGATTAGTAATTGTAATTCAAGAAATTTTTTAGTTTGCAAAGTTAAATGAACCACTATTTATATATTTTAATACTTGTTATAATAAATTGACTAGTTGAAATAATTAGTCTATTATAGTGAATCTTGATTTAAAACCTTTTTCAATTTTGTAGTTTTATTTTTTCAATACAAAATTGAGGTCTTTAAAATTCAAAAGATCTTTACTAAAACCTAAAAATTCTACCAAAACCCAAAACTTCTTAAACAGTATCAGAGTTAGAACTACTAAAGCTGTCTATTATTAATATTTTAGATAAGTTCTTTTTTTATTAGTTGATCGAGATATTATATATTGTAAAATATATTTTTAAAAGAAAAGTATGTTAAAAAAATTTAAAAAAAGCTATTTTTATAAGATTAGACTATACAAAGTTGATATGGATTTAAAATTCCAGTCAGCAGTCAAATTTATCTTATTTCTTTATTTTTTTTTTTAATCTACAGTAAATTAATAAACCTATGTTTATATATAAGGCTATACAAAATTAAATCTTTGCTTTGCATAATATGGAATCAGAAAATTAAAGTTTTTTTTTATTGATAATTTTGAAAAATAAGGTCTATCAAGTTACCAGATTAATTTTATAGAAAAAAATTAAATAAAAAATAAAATAATTAGCACAAGTAAGACTTAAATAAAAAAAATTTTTTTAAAATTTAAAAAAACTAGGTTAGTAGGTAATGTAAAGTGAAAAATTAACTTTGCATAGTCTTAGAAAATACATTTTGCAAGAATACCACTTTGATTTCTCTAAATCATAGTTTGAATTAGAAGAATACTTAATTTAAATTTATAGATTTAGTTATAATACTTATTGTTTTGATTGTTTGCAAATTGTAGTTTTTTTTTCAAATAAAAATTTTTTTTTTCTTTGGCAAAATGCCTTAGAGCACTATTAGTATTTATAATAAAAAAAAAATTTGTAATTAAATATAATTAAATAATAAATTTATTAAGCAACTTAAAATTAAATTATTATAAATTTATTAATGATTGAAAATTCATAAATCATTCTAAATTTATATAATCACAAGTAAAATAATATAAATAACAGACTATTTAACTAAATTACAAAAATAATTTGAACTATTATCTAAAGCTAATTTATAAATAGCTTTAGCTTGGTAATATTTAAGAGGTTTTAGTTTTGGTAGAATTTCCAGATTTTCAAGCTTCAATAAAGATTTCTAAATTTTGAAGATCTTGAATTTTAAAGTTTTGATTTTGAATTAGAAAAAATAAAGCCACATAATTAAAAAAGATTTTAGATCAAGATTCACTATAATGGACTAATTATTCCAATTAGCCAATCTATTATAATAAGTATAAATAATAGTCTATTTAACCTTACAAACTATAGAATTGTCTTGAACTATAATTACTAGTATATGCAGTTTAAAAGAAAAAAAATTTTTATTTAATTTTCTTATAATCTTTAAACAGTATCTTCAATAAATATAACTCTGGGTAGATATTACTTCACTTATGATAAGGCTTTAAAAACATTTAGTATGAAATTTATAAAAAAAAATATAAAACCAATATAGAGAATCTAAAGCAAAATATCAAAGAAGTATAAGCTAAGAATAAATAACTTAACTTTTTAATTTCAGAATTTACTAAAGATTAGTTAGTAAACAAGAATCCACGAGCTGTTAAAAATCATCAAGAAGTTCTCTTGAAATTAATTAATAAACTTTAAATAGCCTACAACCAGAATTGCAAGACTGTTTATACAAATGACAATTGACAAAAAATAGTTACTACCGAATATTTTATTGTCACTAATTAGAGGTTAAAAAAACCATATATAGTATACAGAGATTTTGTCAATAAGCTAAATAATTTGAAGATAATAAGTTATATAAAAATATTATATATAAAAAATTTAATAAATAAATTTATTATATATGCTTCTTATTAACTTGTGATATTAGATATTGTTTTTGTTAAAAAAGAAGAAAAACGAAAAAAAAAACTTAATAAAAATTGTAATTTATATATTAATACTTTTCATCTTTCTAATCTTATTATTTTAACCAAGATCCAAGTAGTATTCTTGCAAATATAGTCTGATGATATACCAAATTAGGAAATCACATTCTAGAATATCTAGAATAATCCACGTGCAATTTCCATAAATTTGATTGGCTGTAGTTTATTTTTTTTATAGTTGTACTTGCCTTGGGGGTTTGTGTATTATTCAATACTAAACGATATATGAATAAGCAATATTAAATATCTATATTTAGTAATCCTATTTAATCCCCTCTAGTAAGCCGTTTTAAAAAAAGTAAATGAGATCTAAAAATTAAGAATTTCTTTACATAT